ACAACAAAATTCGTCAAACAAAGACGTATTTCACATTTGAAGGCGATTTTCATTATTTCGAAGATGAATTTCACATTAAAAGACGATTTTTGTCAATTCAAAGATGAATTCATTTTGAAAGCGAAATTTTGCCAATTCAAGATGAATTTCATCATTTCGTAATGAAATATTGTATTTGATGACAATTTTCATTTTCATTACTTTTTATTATTATTTGTTTACTATTAATCTTATATATCATAGTAAAACATAAAATATATATATTTAACCTTTTTTAGCAAATCGGAATCACCCTTTTTTCTTTTTCCTTTTTCTTTCTTTTTTTTTTAAAAACGCTTTTTTCTCAATTTTCACTAATATTTTTTCTTTTTTTATAGTAAAAATTTTTTCTTTTGAATAAAATACAGTAAGTAGCTTTTCAGCACTCTTTTAGAAGTATTTTTCAGTTTTTTACTTATTTTTTTCACCAAATCTTTTTCTTTTAGATAAGTTAAGTAGCATTTCTATGGTGGATTTCATCAGCAAGTTTCGAAGGTGTTGCTTTATACGATTATATATTGTTCAACACCAAACTGTTATTTGATGATAATACGCTCATTACTTAATACTATACACTTTGTTAACTAATATAAAGTGATATTATACTTGTAAAATTACATAAGTATTTTCATGTTGTTTGATGCAAAATGTAGTTTAATATATACACTATATAGTTTAATGCTATTTATTAATGCGAACAAATGTAAAGTGTTATTTAATAAAATTTAGTATAGAAATACATTAGTTATTCTTGTTGTATACATATTTTTTAATATATAGAATACATAGTGTAGTTTAACACAATCCTATATGTTGATTAATAGCATTAACCAGTGCATATAAATATAATATTGGTTTACTCAGTATATAGTAAGGTAGTAATTTATTATTATAGTATAATTTAAAACATAAATACATTAACAAAGTATTTATTTTGACATTCTGCATGTTGAATTATTTGTACTAATTCAACTATTGAATCTACAGGTATAAAACAGTATTCGTCCATAATAAAGATGGGAACTGTAATTAATATGTTGCAACTTTTAATGTTGCAACTTACGTTGCAATTAGTTTTAACCTATATATGTTGCAACTTATAATGTTGTAACATATGTTGCAACTAATTTTAGCTTATGTTGCAACATTTTGTAAATTTGAAATCAATTGCTGTACTATCTTTAGTCCGTAAGTTTTAACAATAGACAATTATACTTATAATGATGATTATTACTCTTATAACAGAAATTATACTACCACCTGACTAGCGTTAAATCAAAAGATAAATAATTTCTAATTTCAATGTTAACTAATATAAGTATTTATAAAGATATGATATTTAGTTAGAACTATTAGTAAATATATGGTATTAAATATTAAATATAAATAAATAACAACCTTGGTAAAACAAGTTCTGTCGTCTGTATTGTACTCACTGGCTTCTTCTACATTCATGTTAATCGATATGTTACTAAATTCAGGTTCGTTGTAGTATTTACTGACTGCTCTAATGCAATCTCCACTAGCTGCTAAATTTGTATAACTGTACCAAGATATATTTGTGTTATTAATGATTATCTCCTCATTCAAGTCATTAGCTAAATCAAAAAAAATGTTTAAAGCTATAATAAAATTGTCTAACACTAACAAAACTTTAGTCGCTAAATCATTTTTTCTTTATAAACATTAAAAAATTTATCAAAATTCTCCAGTGAGAACTTTCCTAATAAACCACTTAATGATGTTATTTTTCGAAATTTCTTTTTACTTTTGTTTTGATATAGGCGTTTTAATGTCGATTTACGTTGAATCTATAATATATCTGATATTAAAATAAATGTAATTTAAAATAAAATAAAAAAAATTATACTTAACTGTATTGATTATTTGTCCTATTGCTTCATTTGTTGCTAATTCTGTATAGATTCTTAATATAATCTTTATGTAAATATTCGTAGATTTCAGTTGTTAAACCATTAATCAAGCAATACTCCTCAATAGAGTCAATGATGTGATAAACCCAATTATGTAGTTTGGGCAACTTAAGTTCAGATCGGGAATATTACTTGAACAATTTTATGAAATTTTTGCTCAATCTGTTATTAATTTCTATAATAAATAAATTATGCATTAATCTAAGCAAAAGCAAACAATTAATTTTAAAAATGTATTTAGAAAATACTTTGAATTCAGCGAATTCTGATTTCAGAAAATGTTCCTTTCGGTTAAATAAATATATTTTGTTCTATTTATAATAAGTATCAACCAATATATCATCTTGTCTTTTTGCATCATTTGCAGTAAGTTTTTTTTATATTTTATTATCAGTCCTTCAATTATAAAAAGAAATACTTATATCATGTTATGGTACTCATTGGCTGTAAATCGCTTAATATTTTCCAAGCCATGTTTGAAAATTTTGAGTCTCAGAAACCTAGGGATCGCATTCAAACGCTTATCAGTTCATCTACCACTACTTGGCCACATAGATCTTTTAGCATTTCTCTAGTATAAATCACCTGATAATTAAATAGATCCAAATCGAGATGATGCATCTTGTCAGGCACAGTTGCCAAATATATATTGAGTTGGCTATATAAAATTATTAATTGAATCATTATTAATTTTTAGCTATTATGTAATATTATTAATTTATAATAGAAATGTCTTACAGATAATTCCAAAAAATATTTTTCATACTATACATTGAATATTATTATACAATACCACATTCTATAATGTTTTTCATTATTTCCAGTGTTCTTAACTCTATATGATTATTATTTAAGCTTAAATTATTTAAGTCTTCATTATAAACTAAACATTTATGGCAAGGATATTTACAATTTACTGAAGGATATACTAATATTTGTATTGCATTTTCTGGAAGATCTCCTAATAAAATAGAGATATATGAAAACCACCACAAATCCTTACTATTAGTTTGTGGGTCAAAGCCATTTTCCTTGTATGACAATAATGGATGCAAAATAATGTCAAATGCGTGGTAGAATAATGCCTTTTTGGCTAACAAAGAATTTGGAGATTTTTTTCTGAATTTGTCTTTGCTTTCAAAATTGGAAGGTAATAAAGCAAAGCTTTGACATCGGGTTTATTACAACGCCAGCTGGATATATTTTCTAAAGTTAAATAAACAGGATATTTGCTTGACTTTCCTAAATAATCGCAGGTTGTTACGTCTGAGTATAAAATTACAGATAAAATATTTGCTCCATTGGGAAGTGTTTTTTGCGTTCTTTTCCACCATTTCCCATTATATTGCTCACTATAAACTCTTTGGTATTCATAATTTAACAGTGTAAACTTGAAAATATAATGTTTGAAAATGTCACAGTTGCTCAATAACTCCTTTACAGCATCAAAGATCTGCTGATGATTAAGGTAATAAGTATCTTCTTTATATATCATTATAGGAGTTTTTTTGAAAGTGGTATGTGATTCACTTAATTAATCTAATGACTTTTGGTCCTGTTTTACTGAAATAAGTAGAATTATATCTTCACAAGCAATACTTTTTGAAAATTGAAGCAATTTGTTACTACATGCATCAGACAAGTTCCATTTAACAATTAAATTCATAAAATCCCCAAACTCTTTAGATGGAAAGTTTGACTTATTATTTATATTATTACTCATAGTAATATTAAGATGTTCAACGACTGGCAGATATTCTATATCCAATAACTTATATTCAACACTTTTCTATAAAAGACGTATAATAACGTATTACAAAAGATGATACTATATTTATTAATTTATAATAAAATATTGATTTATACCTCAACTTCATCTATCTCACTTTCATCTTCTGTTTCATCCATTTCTCTTCTTATATTTATTTCTAAGCCTACCTCTTTTTTTAAATCTACCACTTCTGTTTCTCTTTTCACGTCTATATCTATATCCATTTCTCTTCTTATATGATTTTCCTTATCAGTTTCTTTTTCTACATCTATTATTTCTTCATCCATCTCTTCTAAAGTACTTTGACTCAATCATTTCAGTCATTCTTCCAGATCTTCTAAACATTTATATTGTTTCCTTCTTCAATTTTCTGCAAACATTTTTCTATATCTGCTTCTTGCAGATGTTTTCCTATACTAGTATCATGTATTTTTATATGATTTCTAAATGATGCATGACGAGAAAAGATTTTTGGACAATAAGAATATTTGATTTTCATGATTGGGTAATTATTTATTTATCTTGATATTTTTCTTAAATTTATTATCTTTAACAAATCGATAGTATATATATTTTTACATGGATCATGCTAATCAGTAAATTAAAATAAATTAAATTAGTTTATTTAATTGATCAAATTAATTCCAATTTTCTTTATTAAAGATTGATTGAGAATTTTTACAATGATCTGATTATGACAAATAATATATGAATTACGTCTAAAAAATGTAAAAATGATGAAAAAAATTATACTGATGAATTAGTATGATCTTACAAAATATGCTGATATTGAATTAATACAATTTTAGAGGCATAAAAAGAAACAATTTCCTTGTTTTTTCATTTTTTTTCAGTTTCTCTTCTTTTATTCAATATTAAATTAGGTTACTTTCTCTTTGATTAAAAACTGTTCAATCGTTCTCAACATTCTTGGAATTTAATTCAATATATATACTAACTAACAAAATAAGAAGCTATGGTAAAAATCATTGGTCAAACACTTCATGTAATAATTTTAATTTACAATATCCCCATCCAAAACGAAAGGTTTATCTGTACTTTTATTATTTTTTATATTTATTCGTTATATATTTATCTTGTAATAAAATACTAATATAATATTATCTATTGTATTAGGCGACTGAAGAATAATGTACTTTTATTTATTAGTACATTTCACTGTTTATATTGACTTTCATATTAATATATTTATTTGTTAACTGAAATTAACCGACGAAGATAGATCTAAAGACAAAATGACTTCAGCATTATCACAATCATCCACCTCAATCCAATCATCACCTTCAGCTAAAGATACTTTCGAGTCTCCTTCAACACCTCAATAGCGAAAAAGATTACATCTTGATGAGAATAACTTATCTTTACTACTAGTACCTGATAATCCACAACTGTCAACATCTAAAGTTCTGATTGAGACTGATGATATAGTTCCTAATTCAATGGTTAGTAAATTATATTCGTTTTACTTATTAAATTCATTTTATCATATTTTTTTTTAAAAAAAAATAAAATTAGCAATCCTATATTCAAGGTAATAAAAAGACTAGTGTTTTTTTTTGCTTGTTAATTAAATTTATATTAGCTGTTGATGAATGAACTTTGAGCAAAATCCTTGAAGTTGAGCAAAAAAAACACTGCACTTTTAAAAGAGATTGCTCAGAAACAATTGAGATTAGAAGAAACAATTGAAAATAGATTCAATAATGTTATTGATACTATTACAAGTTTAAAAGAACAACAATCAGCTCTTAGCGAGATAGACCAAAAGGAAAAAAAATTGAACCTTTTTTTAAAGTATATTTTTTTATTGTTATCATTTATTTTTTTGTTTGAATAATAATCAACTATAATACTAATTAATATTATTGCTATAGGAGTCAGTTAAACAACTTTCTCATAAATTGTTTCACAATCATGAAACAGTGTTAGATGAAGAAATGAAAGAAATACTCAAGGAAATTTTAGAAAATGACAAATCATGCAATGTAAAATTGAAAGAACTGGAGAAGAAGGATGTTTCATATGATAGATTGTGGAATAAAGCTTTGTACTCGGATGTAAGTATATTCTTACATTAATTAATGCATTCATTAATATTTTTTGTTTTGTTATTTTGCTATTTTGTAGCTACTTAGGAGAAATAGGATAAAAAAAGGATATTATATCCAGCGGGTTAAAGAAAGCTTGTGATCAACTTTTGGAATTCACCTAATCAAGCTTTTTGATAAAAATTATACGAGAGAACAAATGAAACAATGAAAAATCAATAGCGACGTTAGAAAAGTTTATGAAGACTTATATTTTTCAGTTGATTCAGATGATACTTATTAATCATTAATCATCAAAAAGTTTTGGTTTATGAAGATGAGCAAATGAGAAAAAACGCGATATGGTATCAAACTATATTAGAAATTATCTTCAATGGAAATTACTTATCATCTAAAATAGAAACTGATACTATTGATAAATAGTATTTGAAACTCATTAAGGTAATTTTCTTATTTTTTTATTTTTTTCATTATTGTTTTAGCAATTTTACTGATTGCCTGTATTTTTAATTATTATTATAGAATGAAGAAGAAGCAGATTCCGAAAAAAGTAATATTGAAGAAGGGAACAATCAATGAGAATTGGTTTTTTATTTTTATTTTAACTTTTCCATTTTAATTTTTATTATTTTTAGTTAGCTTATTTATAAGTATAACCATATTTTTAGTTAGCAGCAAATATAAATACAAAATACATGTCAATTAATAAATGTATTTTAATGTGTTAACTATTATATATGATATGTGTTGTTTAATAGTAAATGCCATTTTATAATAAGTATTAGTTGATATAATATCAGTGTTAGTTGATATAGGATTATGTTACCCTACATTTTAACATGCTGAACAATTCTAATTTTAATTGATACGAAGTTCAACACCCCAAAAACTTACTGATATTCAGATATTTACTAATTTTTTTTTTTTTAATAGAGTTGGATTTTTTTGATATTGATTAATGTAAGTCTACAAATCGGAATGGTAGTTTTTTCAGGTTTTTACTAATTTTTTTTCTTTTTTTAATAAAAGTGGACTTTTTTACTATTGGTTAATATAAGTCTACAAATCAGAATGGTAGTTTTTTCAGGTTTTTACTAATTTTTTTATTTCTTTAATAGGAGTGATTTTTTTTCTTATCAAATATAGCAAATAATTAAATTTAATAAATTTGTAGCAATAAGAAGCTTATTATTTATAAATGTACTTTTCTTATAATTAAAGTATTATATTAATATAAATTATAATAATAAATTTCTTTTTATTGTAATTAATACGGATTACTTATTTGTGTAAAATAAACAATTATAAAATTACCTGTATTATAAAAATTTGATAAAATATTACCAATCCTAATATGCTATTTGTATAATAGGTAACAATAGGTAGAGCTTCTAATGAGTCGAGTTGACTCACGAGTCAAATGAGTTGACTCGAGTCGAGTCAAAACATTTTTGACTCATTTGACTCGAGTCAAGTCATTAGTCGAGTCGAGTCAATAAATTGACTCGACTCATTTCAACTCAAATTGACTCGAGTTGACTCACATGAATTTATGTTATACAAATTACCATTTTGGGAATTTTTGTATCTCATTTTTGGTGATTTTCCAATTTTTCGATAACCAAAAATTTCCTTTTTAGGAATTTGTATAACCATATATCTATATTTGGAATATTGTGTAATTCAATTTGGTACAATCCCAGAATTTAAAAATATACCGGTTACGAAGCTTTAATTGAATATTTTTAACACGTTTTCTTGAATATCTCAGCATCCAGTGATCCGTTAGAAAAAAAAAACTCTCTCTCTCTCTCACCATGCCTATTACTAAACAAAATTCGAAAAATCCAAAAAATTTACAAACGACCCAACCTTATCCAACAAACTTAATAACAAACGATAATAAAAATATAGAACAAACAGCATCTCTTCTTCAAAAAAATAAATCAAATTCTGTAGACACTCCAGTTACAAACAAAAGAACAAAAATCTCTAACGAAGTTTCTCCTTTGACGATCGAAAACATCATAGACTCTATTATTCTTTCACCTTCTCCTGAAACTGAAATAAGTTCCTCAACACTTCAAACAACACCCTTTTCAAAACACATAGAAGATACAAATACATCTACCATGGATATTGATCCAACAACTTCTATCAATACTCAAAACAATTCAACCAACGACTCGATGCATGCCAATCAAAAATCAACTAACTCTTTGCAACAAATTAATAACAATATCTCTCCATATAATAACAATAACAAAGGAAAGCAAAACACAATGTGGTCAGACGAAGATATTTACGAACAAACTTTTGATACTGGAAAAAAAAATAAAGAAAATGCAGAGACGAACGAATTTACGATTATTACGTCACCAATACGCTTTTATGCGTCTACAGATTCCAAAGACGTGAATGGTTTAACTATTGCTGAGAAACGTTACACTATCAACAAATTATTTAGCCACTTCAACGATTTCAAGGGGTCATACTACAATACGAAACAAAGAAAATTCTACATTTATTTCCAATCTTTTGACTCCCTAATGCAAGCAACTGAAAAAGTCAAAGAATCACAACACAATCCAATATTTTTAGTAATCGACCTAAACGCCAAACAACAACGAAAAAATGACAAAAAAGGACGTTGCATTAAAGTTAATGACATACCACTCTTCGTTAAATCAGAGATCGTCAGAAATTGCTTTGACAAATTTGGAAGGATCTGCAGATTCTCCATGATTACAAGGGGCCCATGGCAAATAGCATTTATTGTATACGAATCCGCAGAATCAATTAAAGAATTTTATGATAACAAATGGTCAACATCTTTATTAGAGTTTTTAGTCAGAGTTGAACCTACAGATCTCGATGAATTACAAACTGCCTTAAGACAACAATTTGAACTGAAGCTCACAGGACTTCCCTTCAATACATCTCACTTAGACTTGGCCGACTTTTTAGTACACATAAACGCTAAATCATGTTTCATTCCTAGAGATCGTCAATATAGATTACGTCCATATGCATACATTAATTTTGATAACGAAGATGACTATGACACAGCTTTTAACTCTCAACAAAAGTTTAAAAACCGCATATTATATTGGGTTACACCAGGAGTTTTTCACTGCACCCGATGTGGATCACCTGATCACGAAACATATAACTGTAACGCGCGTTCGACTCAAAATCCGTTCAAATCTCTATACGATCGTTTCAAACCTGCCCAATACTGACCAAAATTTAATCCGTTCAGACCCTCTAATATAAATTCATATTCTTATGAAAATAGTTCGTCCAAACCTTCATACATAGATACCCTTCGAAACAACAATAATCAATCTGAAAACAAAAATACTCCTGTTCAATACAAACCTCCTCAACATAATAACACACCGGTACTAGACCAAACCGGCCTAAATCGAATTATGGATAGCCTTTCCAAGTTGGAACAAAAATTTAAAACTTTATCTGATGATCTCACTGCTACGAAAAATATCAGCAAAGAACTACAACAAGGTCAAGTGAATCTCTTCATGCGAGTGGAAAACATCGAACAAATTTGTCACATTTCTGTACCGAATCAATAAAACAAACCCAAACAACCTATTCAATTTATGGACTTAGATAAGCACATTCCGATTAAACAATCACAACTTACCCCGTCCAATCATTCCAATTCAAATGAAACACCCTTTTGTCACGTGACAGTATTATAGAATTACAAGACCAAAAAATCACTTCGCTTCAAGAAAACTTTAATAGTCAAAAGAAGATCTGACCCAAATCAAGACCGCTTTGATGCAATTCTTTCAAACGAAACCATCCGGTTCAATATGAATACTACATAACAAACAGATATGTCTCTTTTTCACAGGCTATGTGATCAAGATAATAATTTTAAAATAGCCACTCATAATGTTCGA